GACTCCTCTGAGTCTTTGAGTTCAGCCAATAAGGCACTCATCCCCAGCATGGTGGTGTGGGTATATCGTTCCGCATAGCGCCCTCTAGGGGACGCAGCGTAGAGTTCCCATTCGAAAGGGAACGTCTCAGGTCACGCATGAAACCATGGTTACATGTGCAACCGGAGACATTTGTGCGGTGCTGAAAAAGTGCTGTTAATGATTTTATCTGTTGTTCTTCTCTGTATGCATTAGCAGGACAGTCATCTTGGATTTTTCCTTTTTGTGTTATTAGCCTCATTGTGGCTGATACAGGTCTGACCTTTAACCTTACACTGTGCTTAGGAGAATTACTGTAAATAGTAATGGGGCAAGTGACATCATTTGTGGTTCCAAAAACAGTGAGAAGACTAATTATGTACTGGACTGATAAATTGGGACTGGGAGATGGATTATATGCACATATATGTCAGAGGAACATCTTACTGTTTTCAGTGTGCTGTGATGATGAAAGTTCCTTGTTTCAAGCTTTTTAATTGACAGAAACGTAATCACAGAGAGAAATTTAAATAAGAAATATGATGTCAGTTTACATTTTTTTATTATTTTTTTTCATTGAAGTTAGATTTAAATATGTATTAAATGTATATAAATACTTTTAAATATAAATAAATAAATGTTTAGTTCATTACAAAACAATCCAAAAGAAAACAAATCCAAACATACTAGGTTTTATTAAAACTAATACTTAAAATAGTCCAAAAGAGAGACACCTTGTCCCTATAGATAACAAGAGAGAAGAACAAAATGAAATGGAATGAATGAATCAATCAATCAATCAATCAATTTGAACAAAAAGAGAATGAATCAGAAACATCTAACAGTAAAAATAACCTAATATATTAAGTTTAGGTTTAGATTTAGAAGTTTAGTTTTATTATAAAATAAAAATTCAAATAATCCAATAGAGAGACACTGTATAGCCCAGAGAGTTGAAGGAAGAAACAGAGCTAAATGAATGAATGAATGAATCAGTCAATTAATAAGTCAATTAATTAATAATTTTTTTTTAATGTAATTTAAATTTAAAACTATTTATAATAATTTATTATAAAATTATATGTTTGCTGAAGCCTCCTGATGGGCCCTTACAGCTCTTTAGTATCACCCTTCTCACAGGTAAGAGGGGTCCATCCGCAGAAGCATTGTTGCAGACCCTGTGAATTTTAGTGATGACACTGGTCAGTCTGAGATGAGACATGTTTGAATGATGCAGGGTCTGTGCTCTGAAAATCAAGACTATTGCCATGCAGATTTAGATGTCCTCCCTGGATTGTGTGCCAGTTGGGGCCGGCACTAAGACAAACACACAGCCCAGTCCTAATGCGACTGAGACCACACCACTGGGGTTGTTATGGCAACAGCTCATCAGAGTGAGTAAACCCTGGGATCAATGGGTTATTATGGGATGTCTGAAGTTGGAGGAGAGCTTTCATCATCTAGCCATGCGTTACACTTGTTCATTTCCCCTGAAGGATCGAGTGATTAAAAAAAAATCTGTATTTTTAGTCGTCTTATAATGGGGATACTTCGGTGGATCTTTTGTGTGGATTAACATCACAAAACTCTGAAATTTCAATACGTTTGGTCCCTACAGCATAAAAAGCCTTCAAAGCCATTTCACGATTGTGAAGATGTGCTTATGTTGGCTTTAATTAGCTTTAGTGGCATTTATGCTCTTCTGATATCATTTATTCTGGCAGTGGTGATATCAAGCTGATGTTCTTCTCCTCACTGGAAGAGTTTTATTGCTGCCTTCAAGTCATGTCAGAAAGATCTTACGAAGGTCAAATGAATGGCACAACAATAGCAAATTGTAATTAGCAAAGGGAAAATGTGTGTGTGTGTGTGTATATATAATAAATACAATAAATATAAGAGCACAACACAATAAATATAAGTACACCACATGACATTTTTGTAAGCTAAAGTAACCTTCACTTATAAAAAGGTCAAATTTTCTGACCATTTTGAAAGATTTATTGACCTTGGCCATTACCGCGGGAAGTAGGGGTAGGCTGCAGCACGTGGTGAAAAAAAAAAGAGGCCGAGCCTTGAGCTGGCAATAAGGAAGCAGACCTGGAGCCTATGCCTAGTGGGCAGCCAACCAGGAGTAGGCATACGCATTAATCTTATTTTGTTTTAGTAGTATTAATTCTAACAATAATTTATTCTAATTCTAACAATTCTTCCTGATTATCCAGTCAGTATGGTAGGCTACTCTAAGAAGCCCTTTTTTGTGGTCACACTGTAAAACATGAGTTAAGTCAAATCAATTTGACTGTGTAGCCTATAAGTTGTTTAAAACTTTTATCATATACTGATAAAAAAAAAAAAACATATGTTGCCATGACTTTTTGATCATGTTTTTCCCCCTAACACGTCTGTACCCAAATTAAGAATTAGCGAGCATGTCTACAGCTATTACAAAGAAACAGAGAAAGAGCGAGAGAGTCCATTTACCTCAGCAGCAACTATGTTGCATTCTCACATCTTGATCTTTAACGTTATCTTTTCGTGGATCAAAACTAATGCTTAAGGTTGATTCAATATATAATAAAATAAATAAAAAAACGTTTCATCAACAATAAAATAGTACAATGATGAAGTCGCTTAGCTTATATTAAACATAAAAATTGAACAAAACGAATAAACTGATGACTTAGTGTAACCGCGTTGTAACATAAAAATAAAGTCTTTGTATTTTCCCCTTTGTGGCTCTATTATTATTATTATTATTATTATTATTAATAATAAAAAAACATAGGCCCACAATGAAGTAGTATCATTAAGAAATTCACATATTAAACTAAAGTTTTATTATTATTTATAAAATTTGTAACGCAAATATAATGGATTTCCCCTTTTAAAACGATCATAGTTTGTGGTTTATTGTTATTAAAACAGATCAGTCATAAAGTAGTACAATGGCAAATTCGCATTTATTAAACCTCTAACTCTTATTAACAAATTGATGAAGCCTATAGCCTACTTGCGTTGTAACCCAAATAAATGGATGCTTAGTTTGTGGTTCATCTTTGTTTTTTAATGAAAACACAGCAACAATAAAGACCAACTCAGTTATTTTAAACAAAGAAATTAAACGTTTATTAACAAAAGTTCTCTTGTGCTTTTGAGTCATTTCGCTTCACTCTAGTCACGTGACTCCTGCGGCTCCGAGCTGCTTGGAACAGACGCGCGGCGCCTCAGAACTGTAGCGTCCCGTGTCCAGCTGAACTAAATTGATTTTTTTTAAAATTGTATTTCTTGTAACACCGACTACAGGACAAAGCCTGTGTATTGCACACATATAACTTCGCTCCTGGGAAAACTCAACCCCCCCCCCCCCCCTTTTTTTTTTCCTCAGCCCCCCCTGCTCAAAATACGTTCCAGCGGCTATGATCTTGGCACACAGTCATGAGGGTCAGCAGGGCTCCTTTCTATTATATAATTTCCTGTTTTACATTTATGTATGTTAGTTGCACCATGACTTCTGCACTAAACCCTAAAACATCATTGGTAATTATTTAGAATAGGGAACACATATTCACTATTAACTATGATTTTTCCCTCAATAAATTCATAATTTGCTGCTTATTAATAGTTAGTAAGGTAGTTGTTAAGTTTAGGTATTGGGTAGGATTAGAGATGTAGAATAAGGCATTAATATGTGCTTAATTAGTACTAATAAATGGCTAATATTCTAGTAATATGCATGCTAATAACCAACTAGTTAAGAGACCCTAAAATAAAGTGTTACCACATCATTACGCTTCAGCCTTTATTATAAACTTCCACAAAATGAGAAACCAACCACCGTTTTTTTGATGAAAGTTTCTCCGCCTCATATAGTGTGATCTGTGGTAGCGAGCATCAAATCAGAATTTCTTAATTAGCTTTTTCGTCCCCTGGTTATCAAGATTAATTTGACTTCATTAACTCCTAATCTTCAATCTCATTTCAAGGCCAATAAAAACTTTAAAAATTAATAAATAAATATATAAGTAATAATAAATAATACAATTTAAAAAATAAAGATACATAAAGAAAAAGGCTCCAGGACAAGTTACAAGAATGGGATGTAAAAGTTCCCAGGGAAAATTAGGCGTACAGTGAGTTTCTAATACAGACCAGATTAAAAAAATGCTGCCACTATATTGTTATCAACCTAATCAGTTGCGGAGACAAGGACCGGACCTGAGCTGCTGTCTAAATTTAGTTTGCCTTCATGAGGGGTTTTCTCATAGGCAGAGAATCTGGAGTAAAGGCTGAATGCAGGTCAGTCAGAGTCTTCTAACTCAGTTTGATATGAGGTTTAAAGCTGAGCTTCATTTTCCCTCATTAAAACCAATTGTTGACTGAATGATAAATAAATTAGCCAATTATATTGGAACTCTGTCATGTTAATGCATTTATTTGGTGTTATAAAGTGTCTGGATGTTAACGTTTGGTTCTGAGGCTCTTTTATTAAATTTGAGAAAATCAATTTAAATGGTTTAAGATGGTGATTTATATACGGTACAATATACTCTATACCAAAAGTTTGGGGTCAGCAAGATTTTTCATTGTTTTTATATGCTCAAAAAGGCATATACAGACAGTAATATTGAGAAATATGTTTAATATTTTAAATAACTTTTTTCTATTTGAATATATTTTCAAATGTAGTTTATTTCTGACGCAAAGCTGAATTTTCAGCAGCCATTACTCAAGTCTTCAGTGTCACATGATACTTCAGAAATCATTCTAATATGTGATTGGCTGCTGAAGCATTTCTTATTATTATCATTGTTGAAAAAAGACACTTTTTTTTTCCCCCCCAGGATTTTTTGATGAATAGAAAGCTAACAAAAGAACAGCATTTATTTCAAATAGAATTGTATAACATTATAAATGTCTTTACTGTCACTTTTGATCAATTTAATGCATCGTTGATGAATCAAATTAATTTCTTAAAAAAAAGTAGTGTATGTTTGGGCATATACGTATGCATTTCTTTAACACTTTCATCTCGTTCCTTGTGTTGTAGGCGCTGGTGGTGGCTGCAGAGAACCTGCAGAAGGAGCACCAGTGGAAGGATGATCTTGATGTAATGGTTCACACATTCACATTTTGTAAACACTCTGAAACATGTGGAAGAATTGAGGCTGTGAAAGTTTTGCCTGGGCATGTTTTCAGTCAGTCCATCATTGGATAAGAATAGTTACTGGACACATTTAGACATGTAATTGCCTTAGTTAGGTGCTGAGATAATCAGTTGGGTTAGAAAATGTTGGCATCCTGGTCTCAGACCTTGCTTTTGTTGTAATGATGCATTTTAGGTTCCCACGGTCTGAAATATCAATTCTAATTTGCAGAGAAATGAGTGTGATGTCTGCTTGTCTGTTATAGATTTGTCAGTCAAGTATTGTCCGAATGAGTCATCAATATTTGTATTGCAAACAAACTTAATCTGATTATTAGAGTGATATTGAGAGATTAACATTGTCACAACCAGAGGTGATTTGCCACAGATCACCTTTGCCATCATCTAATGTTCACTTAAAGTTAAATGTAATTTTTTAGCAAATATCTAAATGAATATAATTTTTTTATTATGTGCATTATAATGTTGGGATCATTGTTGTTATTAAATTAATGTTCAGTAAGTGAAATAAAGCTAAAATAAGTTAAATATTAGATGAAAAACTTGAAAAAACAAAGTTAAAAAGGTTAAATTAAAAAAAATGTTGAATAAAAAAGTACAAATGTTGCTTGGCAAATAACTGAATTAAGTTTGAAGTACTACAATTACTAAAACTAAAACTGCAATAAAATAATTTAAAGCTACATAGAAATATCTAAATATGAAAGCTGAAATTATAAAAATGGAAAAAGCTCATTTGAAATATTAATAAATGCTATGATAGTATATGGATAATATTACGTAGCATTCAAAACTATTTTTTTTACTTTTTAATGTTCCACAGAATAACATTGAATTTTAATATCCACCATAATATGAAAATTGTTATTGGACCGTTCTAATTTACACGGTTAAAAAAAAGGTTTTACCATGATTTCATTTTTCACAGTTAAGATGTCACACTCCTGCTCATAGTGTGTATTGTGAATACTTCTGTTCAAGCGTTTGTTATGTGCTACCGGTGACAGACAGAGAGGTTTTCTTTTTAATTATTGATGGGATGCAGGTAGAATCGTGTTAAAGAAACAATCTGCGAATTCAAGAGTTTGATCCCATGCAGGGCTGACCAGTATGCGCATGTCTCAGCGATTAGTGTACTATAACCTAAAAAGAGTGTCTGCCACATGGTTAGCAAGTAAGTAGGACAGGTGGCGGCAGCCGGTGATGATCCACTCCTATGTCTCCAAGGCAACTGTATGTCAGATAGCGAGCTTGCTTGTTAACGCCTCACTAATGCTAGTCCTGACAGCACCCTCACACTATGAGGAGAACAACCCTGAGAGAAGACACACACACACCTAAAACAGCAGTACAACATTTAACAACTTCCTTTTGTGAATGCACAAAGATTAGGTACAAAACCCTGTAAAAATACACGGAGAGCTAAAAAAAAAAAAGTCACATTCTATTTCAATATACTCTTAGAGATGGACACTTTGACCAAAAAATAAATAAATTGCAACAAATTGATGACTGATAAAATATAGGATGGAATGGTATGTTGATTCAAGTAAATTGTCATATACTTACTTAATTCATTTCTTAAATAATAATAATTTCCTAAACGCTACTACTACTACTACTACTACTACTACTACTACTACTAATAAAAATTATTACTGCTAAAATAAATTTGACTTCGGAGAATCCTATATATGTCTACATGCTAAAATATACAAAATAACACAAATTAACATAGAAACACTTACAACTATATAACGCCTATAAAATCCTCTTGATCTTGACATTTTAATCCTAAACAAAAATGTTGTCAAAACCTAAAAATAAATCAATAAATATTAGAATGCTGGAAGTGGGTGATTATGAAATATACAGAAAACCTGTTTTATATTGGTAATTTTTTGGTTTTATATGTTTTTATTAGATGGTTGCACGAACCTACCCTGCAACCTTTTGGGAATGTTTATAATAAGCCTAATAATAATAATAATAATAATAATAAAAAGAACATTAATAGAATGCCCCACTAAAAAATAAATAAATAAACATATTGAAACCAAACTATATGAATATTCAAAATTTTGATAAAGATAAATAAAAACACTAAAGTCTTGTTCTGTCACTCTGTCAAACAGGTGGATGAGACTATCTACTACAATGCCAAGGACAAGGTAAGGTTTCATTTAAAAAATACATGCTTGCGTATGAACTAAACAACAAAGATAAATTAACGAGTTGCTTTTTTGTTGTTTGAGAGATTTATGCTTATTTTTATGTTCCTAGTTTGACATTAATGACACGGAAACACACCAGAACCGTGTCAAAGTAGAATTCAAAGAGGATCCAGTTTTCAAACGCCCTGTTTCATACAACACAACAGCAGTGCACATTCCTACTGATATCTACGAGGGCTGTGAGTACACACACACACACACACACATCTTTGCATGTGTTCTTTTTTTACGACTTTGCATGGTAGCTAAAATATCAATTTATAAAATCAATATTTCAGTGACAGCTCGGCTTTATTGCTGCGTGTCAGGTGTGGACAGCCAGAGTCTTGTGGAAAAACTGCAGACTAAATTTAGAGAGCAGCCCAGCTCAAGCACAGCACGCCTGGCCCCTGAGTGACCCCACAACCCCCCAATATCCTCCAGCAAGAGAATAGCGCTCTCTCTCTGTCTCTTGATTTAAAAGGTTATTAGTCATGAGTGTTTTGAGGTTACTACCAGTGGTGAGAAAGTTACTGTAGATTATGAGTAGCCTGTAGCTTGAGTAGATCCAAGATGTTTGTTTCTTCATCGCAGCAAATTTGGAGAAATTTAGCATTACATCACTTGTTCACCAGTGGATCTCCTGCAGTGAATGGGTGCCGTCAGAATGAGAGTCCAAACTCAGTTATCATCTTGTGAAGTGAACAGCTGCGTGTTTGTAAGATATAAAATCCATCAACACTTTCAATCAACACTCTCTTCTGGCCAAAATACAAGTCCATGATAACGCTTCCTCCAGTGAAAAAAAACATTCCATGTTGTCCTCTCACAAAATCCACCAACATTTTTGTTTTGGACTGTTTTTGCTTGTAAACAGTGCTTGACCTGTGCATATTTCTCTCCTGATTGAGACAAGACGACATTTTCACTGGAGAAAGCATTATTATGAATAGAGGACTTTTATTTTAATTATGGATTTGTTTCTTATAAACACACAGCTTTTCACTTCACAAGATGTTAACATGGACTGTAGTCATGTGGATTACTTGTTGATTATTGTGATGTTTTTAGCTGTTTGGGCTCTCATTCTGACGGCACCCATTCACTGCAGGGGTTCCGCTGGTGAGCAAGTGATGTAAAGATAAATTTATCCAAATCTGTTCTTAGAAACAAACTCATCTATATCTTGGATGACCTGAGGGTGAGTCAATTTTCACCAAATTTTCATTCTTGGGTTACGTTTTGCTCGGTAGCCCCGCCATCAATAATCTGATTGGTCCCTCATAGCTGTATATTTAACATCACGTGCATATGTTGGCTGTGATTTTGTATCAAGTTGGTCAAATTGGCTAGTGCTTTCTTAAGATGCAGTGTATCATTCTCTCTGTGTTGGCAGAATTCTGATCTCCTCAGCGATGGGCTCACTGTGGCCTTGAATTTGTGTGAGTGTTTCACAGGCGAATGAGTTTGATGTGATATTTGTGTTCTAGATGAGGACTGAAGCAGCCATATTTATCATATGACTCATCTCTCTCTCTGTCCCGCTGTCTCTCTTTATCTACTTTTACTCACTTCAAATTACTCTTAGTACCTTTTGTTTTCCGCCTGATTCTCTTTGTCCGGCAGCATTGCTTAGTGCTACTCAGTGACAGCCATTGGGTGAAGCTTTCGGCCAGTATTTTGTTTTTCGTCTAATCTTTTGTGTCCTTTTATGTTATAATATGGCTGATTATTCAAGTGTTTGTGTATGTGTGTTATTGGGGGCTCTAGGCTGTCTGTATGATTGCGTCTTATTAAGACATGAATCTGTGCGTCATCTGTCATCGCAATCTCAAGATGGACATAGACATGCTCAGAGAGTGTGTGTGAGAGTGTTTATGTGAGACGGACTGAGCACAATGACGTGTCTGTCACATGGATCCCTCTGGCTGTGCTCATAGTGTTCGGATTGGTTTTTCTGTTTACCTTGATTCATTTAAACCAATGAAAGTTTGCCTGTCATCAAAAATCGTATGCCACACACTCTCACTTTCTCTCTCACTCTCATTGAATAGAGCTATAAATGATTTTAATTTGTCATAATCAGACCATCAGAAAAAAAAACAGTTTGCAGCAGCTCCACATAAAAAAAGTTTCACATAAAAAATGCTATGGCAATGATGGTATGATGTGGTGATTATTATTAACCAGCTGTTCCTTTACTCGCTATAAGTGTCCTAACAGGGCAATTTCAACATAGCAATTTCTAGCAACAAGTGATTTGTAATTTGTCTGTCCACACTGAAAGTGAAAATGCGGAGCGGCACTACACAGTTTAACGCAATCAGAAGATGTTGAATTTATGTGCAATTTTGAAGAACAGGATTTTGGAGCGCTGAGATTTCGCGATCGCTGTTAGGTTACAAACTGTTTATGATTAACTCTCTTGAGCATACTTTTTCCCAATAATTTTTTATAAACTTTTTCCATACATATTGTTTACTATAGCCAACGAATGAGTATATCAGGAAGGACTGGAAGGAAGTGGTAGAAATAGAGGAAGATGAGATGTGCCATTGGGCTGCTGATGGACCCTCTTAAGATGATCGATAGGGTCTGGTCTGCTTTTGAGTGATGGAGAAAGCCTGTATTGATTACACACCTAGAGTGGGAGGAGTCTTGATGGAAAGAGGAAGTGGATAGCATTGGTGGGGTGGTGAAAGACGTCCCATGGGATCAAACACACCGGCTCTTTTCAGAATTAGGCTGTCAAAGTGGTAATGATTCTAATAATAATTTAGGATCAGGTGTCTCTCTTTTGGATTGATTTATTGATTGATTTTGATTGATTGAGAAGTTATTCTACTTTCCCCCCCAGCTCTATTGATGTCTCGCTAAGGTGTCTCTCTTGTGGATCGATCTATCTATCTAGTTTTTTTCCCAGCTGTTTTTTCCCTTCAGTTCTTTGGGAGGTCCATAAGTTGTCACTCTCTTTTTAATCATTTTATTTCATCAAGCTGTTTTCAGTTAGATGTTTGTCTTTTGGATTTTTAAAAGTTTTTTAAAGGTAAAGTTTTTCCTGCAAAATAAAAATGTCTAAAAATAATAAATAAGCCTAGTAACTAATAAAAACCCTGTGAATGGTAGTGATTATATAGTAACAAACTATGTTCTAACTATGCTATTCTCCGTAGGAGTGGGAGTGTGTCAGGTCTGACACTGAAGCTCATTCGCACTTCCGTCAGTGAGATGCTGGAGACTCTCTCCGATGATGATTACGTCAACATTGTCTCTGTGAGTAGCGTATACAGGAGATATGTGTGTTGCTGAGAGTGTTTAAATGATAAACTCGTCCGACGCTCCTCAAAAAAATCTGGATTCCTGCTGAGTAGGAATAGAAAAGTGCAGGGAAACAGAGGCAGGGAGCCTCCAAGCATCCCTAACGTCATAGCTCATTTTTTTTGCGTTCTCAGTTAGGCACCGCTGAGGCGGCAGGCCAAAGAATTATTGATGTTTCCCATCATCCTCTGCTTCAGATGCTGTGCAATTCATTTATGAAATGCATCATTTATTTCATTTTGTTCGTGAGACTACTGACAGGAATAAAAATAACAAACTCTATATTCTGCTTTTAAGTGAGTTGTTTTGAATATTTTCAATTAACTTTCTTCCTCCATATCTTTAATAGCTTTGCGCTTGTATTTTATGACTTGACTCCAGCTGTGTGACGTTAGCTTGGCATTAATGAAATTAGCCAGCAGTGCTCTAAGTGTATTGCTGGCACTGAGCCATGGGACTTACATAGAGGAATCTAAATGATGCAAAGTGATTTCATGTATGCAAGCTGCACCTCACAGTTTTACATAGATTTTTACAGATAACTTACTAACTAATTACAATGCTTTTATATGATTTCAGTTCAACAATTCGGCCAAGTCGGTCGCCTGTTTTGAAAACCTGGTCCAAGCAAAGGCGTGAGAGCGTGTGGGTGCATTCTGCACTTTTTAATTTACAACCGATAGTTTGCAACATTGAAGAACTTGCATAAGCGTTGCATTGACCTGTAGCAGCTGGGTCATGTTACCAGTGCTACTGCATTCCTTGTGTTTAGTAAATCTAGTTTTTTTTGTTTTCAATGTCAAATAAATTTAAAGGGGTCATATTATGTTAAACCATTTTCCTGATTCTTTTGAAATAAAAGTTTAATATTAAATATAGACAGACATGCTATAACATACATACTCAAAAACTTTTTGTGTCTGATTTTTTGAGTTCACATGCTTAATGTCCTAAATTTACAGGTTTGATTAGTTTGAATGAATTTTATACAATAAAGTTTTATTGTTTTTATGTTTTTCACAGTCCTAAAACTTTGTATATTTTAAGGATGCACTGATATTTACATCTTGGTTGATGCTTATAAGCCAATAATTATCATATTTTAAAAATAACAAAACAAATGTTTTATTATTATTATTATTATTTCAATAAAACTAAAATAATAAGTAATAAAATAAAAATACTAAATAATACTAATACTAAAATGCGAACTAATACTAATGCTAAAACCAGTTGATATAAATGCTACAAGTGAATTTAGGCATCAAAACATAACGTATAATATAATATTATAATATTAATATTCATTTTGAGATTTGCTTAAAATTACATTTTAGCAGTGTTAATATCCAGTATCAACTGATACCAAAAAATTGTGTAATTCTCTAAACATAATTCATTAAAAAAATTCTACTGATTTCTTTTTCTTTCTTTCTTTGGGTCACTCACTCATAAATAAATAAGCAATGTTTAAGATGTCATCAATATGTAAGTATAGATTGGAAAACAGGAAGAGAAAGCACTATTTTATATTTACTACATATTTTAATAGTTTTACTTAAACTAGGCATCAATATTTCTTAAGAATGGGATTTTTTTTTTCTGTCTGTGGATACTGAGCAGCAAAAATGAATCATCCAAGCTTAAACTTATGATGAACTACTTCTGCCAGCCTGGTGTGGAAGTGTTTATAAACATTTCACATGCAAAAAGGGTAGCCAATAATAAGAAGCCTCATTTACATGTAGCAGTTTTAAAGGTACAGTAGCAAAAACACCCTATCAAATGTTACAGAATAATTCTCACTCTTGTCTTTTGTTCTATAAAGCTCGGACCAAATGGATATTACTTCGCCATTGACCCCAACGGCTACGTGCTGCTTCATCCCAACCTTCAACCAAAGGTACGACTCTCACTCGTGCCATCACTGTATGTTTCTTTCTCTTATACTAGAAGTAGCTGCCCATAGCCATGTGTATGAACCTTCAGTACAGGTTATGATGAAATAACACAGGCCACCCACATCTACAGAGGTCATCTGTCCTTTGTAATAAATATCATTTGTGCAGTCCAAACACAATCGTTCTGTTTAGTTCACAGATGAAACGGCAAAGAGAGCATTTATTCAAAACACATGCATGACAATTAGTAAATGTTTAGTCAGTGATCCATGGGATTAGTGAACACTTTGTGTGGAACAAAGTAGATATGCTGAGAAACAGTTCTTCAAGGAAAAAGTGACTCATTGGTAAATATTTCCGCACACAAATATGGTGTCCAGTATTGATTCATGGTATTACTTTGAAAGTTGTTGTTGTTTGCCTGCAGGATCTCAAGCCTCAGGAACCCATGACATTGGACTTCTTGGATGCAGAACTAGAGGATGAAGAGAAAGTGGAGGTGAGAGCAAACTTCTATGATCTTCTTTCTCATCTTGAACACACACACACAAATATAAATAAATAAACTGTAGACATACATATAGTATGAAAGCAAGGAAATCTTTTTGTGTCTGATTTTGACTTATTTTTTTAGTTCACATGGTTAATGTCCTAAATTTACAGATTTGATTAGTTTTTTGAGTTTCATACACATTTTATATAATAAAGCTTTATTATTTTACGTATTTTACAGTCCTAAAACTTTGTATATTTTAAGCATGCACTGAAATTGAAATTTTGGTTGATACTTATAAGCCAATAATTATTATCATATTTTTAAATTAATTAAATGTTTTTTTTTTATTATTGTTTGAATAAAACTAAAATAAAAAATACTAAATAATAAAATAAAAATACTAACTAATACTAATATAAAATTCGAACTAATATTAATGCTAACCCCAGACCCCCCTCTGGGGTTAGCATAAAAATTTTCAATTTTTTGGTGAACTATCCCATTAAGCTCAAAAATATATAATCAGCGTTCAGGTTCGAGCTCTCTTGTATTAAAATGAATACAGGCTGGTGTGATTTGATTTTGTAACTTTACTTGTGCTCTGTTATACAGATGTTCAAGTCATAACAAAGTGATTATTGAAGCATCAACAAACAGCAAAGTTGATTCTCAGTCCTGTGTGATTTCATAACAATATGTAGGCTATAAAATATCATTTTCTCACGTCACAACCCAAATTACTTGTTTTCTCGCTTGAGAGCGACTAAGAGGATATTAGATTACACTGGTAAATGAAAACAGTCTCTTCTTTTAGTTGAAAGTGACACTATTTGCTTTTGAAGATCCAGTAACGTACTGTATTTACAGTAATGGTACATCAGTGACACATCTGTCTGTCTGACTTCTGTCTGTCTGTAGATCAGAAGAAGTATGATAGATGGTCAGGAGGATCAAAAGAGAGTCCGAACACTTTTGAAGTCTCAAGATGAGGTAATCGTGCATGCTTTAAACCGGAAGTGCTTCTCAGCTGATTTTGCTTCAGAACCCAGTTTATTTATTTATTTGATTTTTTTATTAGAGGTCAAATGGAAACAACATAAAAATGATTTACATTTTAAAAAATTGTACAAAAGCAAACAAAAATGGCCTTTAAATGTTCAAATGTATTCTTTGTATTTTATTATTAGTTTCTAAATACCTCTGGTAAAATTGAACTGCAAAATTTTTATCTTAGCCATATTAATATATCATATGTTTCTTTTAACAAATGACAGATGAAATTACATTAAAATGGTGCAGAGTTGGATTAGCCAAACAGCAACAACAACAAAAAATTCTGCTCTCTTTTAAATGTTTTTGGGTTGCAACCCACCGGTTGAGAACCACAGGGCTATGCAATACTAGTTATTCAGAATTAAAACAGAGATCAATAGTTCATTAAACCACTAAGTGTTATTTTATTCTTATTGCAGCGCTACATAGACAGAGGCATCAGAACCTACACTTGGGGTCCAGTCCATGACACAGACTACAGGTCTGAGAAACTGTTTTGTTTTGTTTTTGTCTTATGTCTTGTTTTGTTGTCTTTTTTTGTTTTGTTTTGTTTTATGTTTTTCTTTGCTTTTGTCTTGTTTTGTTGTCTTTTTTTGTTTTGTTTTGTTTTATGTTTTTCTTTGCTTTTGTCTTGTTTTGTTGTCTTTTTTTGTTTTGTTTTGTTTTATGTTTTTCTTTGCTTTTGTCTTGTTTTGTTGTCTTTTTTTGTTTTGTTTTGTTTTATGTTTTTCTTTGCTTTTGTCTTGTTTTGTTGTCTTTTTTTGTTTTGTTTTGTTTTGTTTTTCTTTGCTTTTGTCTTGTTTTGTTGTCTTTTTTTGTTTTGTTTTGTTTTTCTCTTTGCTTTTGTCTTTTTTTATTTTTATTTTTTTATTTGCTTTGTTTTTGTCTCGTCTTGTTTTGTTTTTGTTACGTGTTTTTATGTTGTGCAGGTGTGTTTGTCGTACAAGTGAACATATGAATGTTTATTTTAACATTGCCGCTAGGGGGCACTGTTCATTTGACTTATTTTTTTAGTTCACATGGTTAATGTCCTAAATTTACAGATTTGATTAGTTTTTTGAGTTTCATACACATTTTATATAATAAAGCTTTATTATTTTACGTATTTTACAGTCCTAAAACTTTGTATATTTTAAGCATGCACTGAAATTGAAATTTTGGTTGATACTTATAAGCCAATAATTATTATCATATTTTTAAATTAATTAAATGTTTTTTTTTTATTATTGTTTGAATAAAACTAAAATAAAAAATACTAAATAATAAAATAAAAATACTAACTAATACTAATATAAAATTCGAACTAATATTAATGCTAACCCCCCCCCCCCCCCCCCCAAAAAATAAAATAAATAAAAATAAAAAGCTGATTTGTCAGTACAATGAAAGTAAATGGGGTTCAAAACAATGCTGGACCCAACTGACTTTCATTTAATGGACAAAACCCCTTTTTCAAAATAGGTTATTGACACAAGGGTGAGTAATTGATACCAGAATTTTCAATTTTTTGGTGAACTATCCCATTAAGCTCAAAAATATATAATCAGCGTTCAGGTTCGAGCTCTCTTGTATTAAAATGAATACAGGCTGGTGTGATTTGATTTTGTAACTTTACTTGTGCTCTGTTATACAGATGTTCAAGTCATAACAAAGTGATTATTGAAGCATCAACAAACAGCAAAGTTGATTCTCAGTCCTGTGTGATTTCATAACAATATGTAGGCTATAAAAATATCATTTTCTCACGTCACAACCCAAATTACTTGTTTTCTCGCTTGAGAGCGACTAAGAGGATATTAGATTACACTGGTAAATGAAAACAGTCTCTTCTTTTAGTTGAAAGTGACACTATTTGCTTTTGAAGATCCAGTAACGTACTGTATTTACAGTAATGGTACATCAGTGACACATCTGTCTGTCTGACTTCTGTCTGTCTGTAGATCAGAAGAAGTATGATAGATGGTCAGGAGGATCAAAAGAGAGTCCGAACACTTTTGAAGTCTCAAGATGAGGTAATCGTGCATGCTTTAAACCGGAAGTGCTTCTCAGCTGATTTTGCTTCAGAACCCAGTTTATTTATTTATTTGATTTTTTTATTAGAGGTCAAATGGAAACAACATAAAAATGATTTACATTTTAAAAAATTGTACAAAAGCAAACAAAAATGGCCTTTAAATGTTCAAATGTATTCTTTGTATTTTATTATTAGTTTCTAAATACCTCTGGTAAAATTGAACTGCAAAATTTTTATCTTAGCCATATTAATATATCATATGTTTCTTTTAACAAATGACAGATGAAATTACATTAAAATGGTGCAGAGTTGGATTAGCCAAACAGCAACAACAACAAAAAATTCTGCTCTCTTTTAAATGTTTTTGGGTTGCAACCCACCGGTTGAGAACCACAGGGCTATGCAATACTAGTTATTCAGAATTAAAACAGAGATCAATAGTTCATTAAACCACTAAGTGTTATTTTATTCTTATTGCAGCGCTACATAGACAGAGGCATCAGAACCTACACTTGGGGTCCAGTCCATGACACAGACTACAGGTCTGAGAAACTGTTTTGTTTTGTTTTTGTCTTATGTCTTGTTTTGTTGTCTTTTTTTGTTTTGTTTTGTTTTATGTTTTTCTTTGCTTTTTTTATGACTTTCTGTGCTTTTGTCTTGTTATGTTGTATTTTTTTGTTTTGTTTTTTTTTTTTTTTTTTTTCTTTTGTCTTGTTTTGTTGTCTTTTTTTGTTTTGTTTTGTTTTATGTTTTTCTTTGCTTTTGTCTTGTTTTGTTGTCTTTTTTTGTTTTGTTTTGTTTTTCTCTTTGCTTTTGTCTTTTTTTATTTTTATTTTTTTATTTGCTTTGTTTTTGTCTCGTCTTGTTTTGTTTTTGTTACGTGTTTTTATGTTGTGCAGGTGTGTTTGTCGTACAAGTGAACATATGAATGTTTATTTTAACATTGCCGCTAGGGGGCACTGTTCAAAGTAACATTGAAGAGTGTTCAACAGAAATGTGACATTATACTTCTTCTATAAGGACAGATTATCAAAATAGAGTAATGTTAAGTTTGAAAGTTTGAAATCTCTTACATTTGAGTTGGAATCTGTAAATTGCAACCTACATGGACAAAAAGCTACAAAACTCCCAATTTTAATTTCACAGGATGTTCATTTCTCAATTTTTATAATGTCAGGAAGTCTACTGCTCTTCATCCTCATTTATTTCTTGTGTCTTCTGTCTAGTCTTGCTTTAGTTCTACCTGATTACAGTGTCAGCTACATCAAGGCCACTATACTAGACACCATCACTCAGGCCAAATGTAAGTACCATAACTCACATTCTCGCACCTTTATCAAAGAGATTGGAATGCCAGTTTTGCTCAGAGGCCAGAAGCCGTAGCATGAGCTCCTGGTTTTTATCCAGAGAGTCCCCTACAGCTCAACCCTACACCGTCTGTCCATTTCACATCTCTTTTTTGACACCCTCACCTCCTCCAGAGATGTAACAGCATGGTTCCTCAGTTGTGGTTTGTCTCCATGAGCGTGCGCCAGACGGGGCGACGACTCCTTTAACGGCAAAAGCGTTTCACCTTGTGCATATTAGCCCAGGTTTTTCTTCCAGATGCACCTCTGTGCCCATGTTTACCCTCTCGTTCTCTCTCATGTGGCTTTTGAGAGAGGAAAGTGAATCTCAAATGCCCCTCCCCTCAGGAGAGCCCTCACAGTTCCTGTACAATATTCTTATTCAAAGCTTCTGGGGTTGAATAAAATATTGTGAAATCCCTCATGTTCTTTCCTATATCTTGCCTTCCCCGAACCCTTTTCATTCTCTCTCTCTCTCTCTCTCTCTCTCTCTCTCTCTTTCTCTTTCTCTCCATCTC